CAAAAATTTAGAACAGCCTTTTCTGGCTAAGTCCAAGGGGACTGTAACTGAGAGGAATGGGATTTGTAAACTAGGGGTTCTTGTCCCGGGATGATGAGGGCATACACCATTATAGCATAAGGGAGTAGAACCACAGAGCCCTGGAAAGTACAAAATTTCCCTTTGAAGTACAAATCACACAAAACTCTTCTGGTATAGGATTTCATTGCTAGCTTCCAGCTTAAATTAGCCAGGACAAAGTTGGACAGAATTTGAAAAACTTTGAAGTTAATTTTGGACCAGTTTAATGTGAACTTGGGTTATGTTAAGTTTTAAAAGGAAGCTGTGTTAAGCACAGAATTTTCCCCTGATTATATCAAAGGACATAGAGTGGAGAAGTACACAGAAAAATGTCATCCTAGCTTTGCACCTAGATTTCCTCATCCCTTCATTCCTTTTTTTTAGGTAGTGGCGTGCAATATATTTTCTGTAAGTGTGAAAAAAAAAAAAAAGTGAAAGCAGAACTACTGTATTTCTCCTTTTTTTTTTTTTTTTTTTTTTTTTTTTTTTTTTTTTTTGTGGAGGGGGAGAGAGAGGAGAAGGCATCTCTTACTCACCTTTAATTTGTTATTTCGATGAAAAGATGCTTGGGTGGTGGAGGGCAGAGAGGCTCATCACAACAAAGAGCTGGTGCATGCAAGAAGCATCTGGATGGTCTGAAAACAGAGTGCTACAAAGTCACAAGAAAGTCAAGGACAAGGGCATGTGAACTTTGTACTGCTCAGTACTAAAGCCTCCCATATAAAAAGACTGAGAAGAGGCTGCCTTTTGTGTCAGGAAAATTTTCACTGGGACTTGAGGTCTGTTTGCTTAAAAATAATATTATGCATCATGAAAAACAATCTTCAGCAGGATAATGCTTGATTTAGTCTCTGTGTTTTCTATTCCCAGAAGGATTATGGTCTTTTTTTTTTTTTTCCACTATAAAGGTGAGGTTTTTGTGTGCTTCTGTGTGTGCATCTGGTAATACGAGTAAATGAGTGGGATTTAGCAGTAACATCATAACATAGCCACTGCTTTTATAATATAAAAATATTCATAAGACAGAAAATAAACAGAATTAGAGGAAAATCTGTGTTGTTATGCTTTCTTTGACTTTTCAAATGGAGATGAAAAACAACATTGAAACACACGTGCTTGTCCTTTACAAACCTGTTAAGTAGCAAGGCTACTTATGTGAAGAGATTAGAAATCAGGTGTCATGGCAATTGGTGGTGTTTCAAAGTTCTTTAATTAGCATATGAATCAAAACATCCATATTTGTTAAATATAACCTCACATATTTCAGTCCCAGGTCTAACTTAACTATACATCATATCTGATGAACTTTAACATGGCTCTTTTTTTTTTTTTCTTTTTTCTTTTAATTTAGTGATTTACTGTGGATTCTTTTATCTTAAACAAGACACAAAGTGTAGAAAAAATCTTTAGACAGCTTTGCATAGCTGCTTGCTTCATAATGACCATCACTGATTTTCTGGGAGTTCAAAAGTTGGTTCTCGTTATTCCAGATTGGACTTCCAATATACTATTCCCATGTTAGTTATGTGTACAAAAGGAATCTTCCTTAATCTGTCTACCACAACAGGGTTTTCTGGAGTTTTACTTTAAGAAAAAGCTCATATATTTTTATTCATATTTTAAGTTAATGCTCCTTCATGCCATGTTGATCTAAATGCTTCAGCTGGGACAGCTGACACTGAAGCTGAATGCTATTTTTATTTATTTATTTATTGGTGGTTTTTGTTATTTTTATGAGGCAGTAAGTTAAAATTACATATGAAGGGGTGGTAATGTGGTCAATTAAGGAAAAGTAACATTAGGAGGAACCGACTGTTTCTCTGAAATGTTTCTCAAAGCACAAACTGAAAATGGGAATTGGTCTCTGCAGCATGGAAAGGGAGGAATAGTAAGTGATGGACAGCAACAAATATTTTCTGTATGTATGTGTCTATCCTGATGCTTCTGAAAAAACAGAACTGGGATATTTGCATTTTGTATAGGAAAGATGAGGCTTAAAATTATAATTAAAATAATTATTAAAATTATAATACTTATTTGTATACCCCATATTATGCAATTAGGGTTATAATGAAAAAAATATAAAGAAGAAATTTTGTTATGTAAAAAGCAAACCAGACAGAGTTTTACAACATTATCCTTTTAAAAATTAGTTTTCTAGGGCCAGTCAAATACTTTAGCATCTGTATGCATAAGGACTTATACATAGTGTTTTAGAAAACGCACATAGCCCCGCCTCTTTCATCACTGTTCAATTAATGTTTTTTTACATGCTATGAACAGCAAAATTCATTTTGCTGAAGGTGGTGATGCATCTATCTTCGTCATTACAGTTCTACTTTAGTAAAATATTTGAAGACAAATTCATTAACAAGACAGATTTATTGGATTTTTGTAACATTTTTTTTGCCTGCAAATTGTTCAATTTCTTGGGAAGGCTTTACGTAAGGTATAGTTGGTATTTCCCTGTAACCATGCCAATGATTTCTTCCATTGTGCCATTTCATAACAGTCTGTTTCCCAGAAAGCAGCAGTAAAGCAAAACTCTGCTGTAGTATCGGGAAGTTGTACTGAGTGAACTAGTCACCAGAGTGCTGCTCTCTTAATCGATCCTGACTTTGAGTTCTGTTCTTAGAGTTATGTATAAAAATTGATGAAGCAAGGTAGGGGTATGTTAGCACGAGCCTTTGATGTTTCTCAGGCACATATCTAGAGACAAGTCAATGTCAGCTGTCTAGCATTGATTGCGTTCTACAACTTCTAAAATCAAGAGCTGTGGTTTTTAAAATTAAGCAGCCAACAGCACTAACAAGGAACTGGATTTCCCATATCTATACTGAAAAGGGAAACCTCAGTTTCTCCTGCCCAGCTAGAGGAGAGGAGTGCATTTCTGAAATATTCATGTATTATATCTCCATCCTACTTTGGCTTTCTGCGGTTTGATTACTTAAATTCCTGAAGATACTAAACTTTCTGCCTTTCCCATGCAGAAATGAAGAAACTGTTCTTATCTGCTCATTCCTGCACAGTGATAATATCATCACTAAAATAGTAATAGAGGTCACTGGAGGAGTCTTATTCACGTATTTGTCATGCAAACATGATAGCTCAGAACTTCTCTGAAATTTCAGTGTGTATACTGAAGAGAGGTGAGGATAAAAAAAAATATTGTGACCTCTGTATGATTAGATGCATGATGATGTAGGCGTTCAAGTAGTGGGTCTGCGCTGTGTTTGGTGGATCCATCCAATCACCCTGTGTGTTACTTTTGCAAATGCTGTGAGCATATTGCCATCACTGTATAGCCAAGTATGCTTAAGCTGACCACGGAACTTCACTCATTTCTCATTTTTGAATAAACTGAAAAATTGTCATGGTCATGAATAAGAAATGTGAAATGCTGCATTCTTAGTTTTGGTCAATCCTTCTAGATCTTTAAGTTATCACAGAATGAAGTGACTTCTGCTCAAGAGATTTTCCTATTTTAATAGAGACAGTTTTATAAATTAGTAACATCAAAATTAGATCAGCTGCATGAGTAAACAGTTGTCTATTGACTTACACCAGCTCTAAAGATCTCCAGTAAGAACAAGAGCTAGTTTCACCTAATTAAATCTCTGTAAGTGAATATAGTCATATAACCTATATGACAAGTAAGTTATAATTTTAAATACTAATTCTGATACCTCTATGGTTAAGAATGTTAAGACAAGAATAATCACACATAAAAAAAAAAAAAAAAAAAAAAGCTCGAATATATTTAAACAAAAATATATGGAGCAGGAAAGCACTAGAATGCACAATGATTAATGGTCATTTGCATTTTGACGTCATAGTATAAAGGCATGCATTTACATTATAGTGTAGCTAAGTTAAACCTAACTATGGGAAAGGCATATTTCATTAATCCTTGCACTAACACTGTGTTTTAAGAACAGAGACACTGAACATTTTCCCAGGAAAATGCAGGGTAACTATGGCATAGCCATAAAGGGAACCTAAGCTGCCTGACTCACTGTCCTGTGCTGTAATCACATGTGAGGATGCAGCTTAATTAATTAGCAGTTTGGAAAGTACTTTTGTAAAAAAAAAAAAAAAAAAGAAAAAAAAAAAAAGAAAAAGATAATGCATTTAATCATCTACAGAAAGAGAACCACAAGAGGAGTTGTGGGGAACACACTGTGTGAGCCACAGAAATTCCACATCTTCCCTGCAAGTGGCTGTTTAGCAATTTATTCTCTACAGAGGGTATGTGCTAATTCTGGTAGGGTGTCTAGGGAGGCTAGAGGGTGTTCCACCTAATAATTATTAAATCATACAGATTAGTCCTAAGTGGAAACACAAAAAGGAACATTACTTTGCTGAGCACATGAACAAATATTTCCAGGCTGCTTTTAAGGCACTATATTGAACACTGTGAGCTTAAAGATCTTTCAAAAGCACTAGAAATAGCTCTTGCCATTGCCCCAAGAGGTTGGTTGCATCACCATGATGATCTGAGGGAGCAGTGGTAATCAGAGGGTGGCAGAAGGGAATTTTGCAACACAGAGCTTTCGGGAATTACTGACATGGGAGATTGAAGAACATTTTAATTTTTTTGCTTAACAAGGTCAAACATAAGCCTTTTTGCTCTGTGATATTGGCAACAGTAATTTTGCTTCACAGATGAAATATATGTTGGTGTTTGAAGACATGGAAATTTAGCATTAAACTTTGTCATTGTGTATTGCTCATAGAAAAATAAGGATTCCCAGGGTTATTGTGCCAATTTTGTTAGTGTAAATTGCTAGCCTTCTCAACACCACAGAAAAAAATTACAGTTATCCCGAAGGCATTTCTGTTAGAGGAACAAAAAATAACATGCAGTTATTATTTATCTGTTTCATTTGGTTTTTGTTTTTATTCACATGTAATTTATCAGTGGCCTCAGTGGGCTACAATCCATGGTATGTAACCCTATTAAAACAAAACAAAGTCCCACCAGGGACAAAATGGATCCATTTTCTCCAGATTAATTTAATAGATGAATATTTCACACAATGAGAGAGCCAAGTCTGCAGATGACTTGTTTTTTGGTTTGGAACTTCAGGGAACAGATGGAAAAGCGGCAGCATTAATATACCTTAATGGATCCATGGGACCGTATTTATTATCTGGCTTCAGTTCAGATTTTTTTTTCCAGTGAGAGTACCTTGCTGAATCACCACTGCAGAGTCTTGTCAGAAACTTTTTCTTTCGTTTCTCTTCTGTGCTTTTTTCCCCACTTTTCATCCTACCTTTCCTGTCATGATCAATTATAAATTTCAATCTCAAAATAGCAGGACAGTCTTGAGCTGTTTTGCAAAGAGATGGTTGTACATGGAGATGCTCAGAGGACTGCAGGGAACAGGCAGGGTTGAGCCCTCTCAGCCTCTCTCCAGGGACTGTGGGTGCTGGGGAGCAGGAGGAGACAAGCCCACAGAGAGCAGCTCAGCTTACCTGTTCTTCCTAATCAGCATCTCCTGTTGCCACTGTTGGAGAGAGAGGACTGGGCTAGACAGACCTCTGCACTGATGATATAGGGCATTTTTCATGGTCTTCTGTTCTGAGAATGAATATTTGTTAATTAGTACAGAATGCAATGGACACAAAGCTGGAGAGAATACAGGTTATCTATATAGGATAAGATATTGTTTCCAGCACAATTTTGGTCTCCCAAGGAGATACAGCTATTAAACATAGCTGTACTAATTATTTAATTATCATCATTTAATAATTTTTATTTGGGACATTGTTTTGCAAGAAACCAGGAGAAATAAGTTGTATACTTTTTAGTAAGGATCTGTTTATATCCTGTTCACTGCAATGGTTATGTGCAGTTACAACAAAACTAAGGTCTGCATCTCATTCAGAGACATCAAATTCCAAAGATTTGTGCCTTTGAAGCTGGAAGATAAACTCAAGAGAGCCTGTAGGTCAGATGTAGCTTAGAAATTAAAAAAAAAAAATAAGAAAAAAAGAAAACTTTGATATAAGTGGTTCCACTTATATTTGCTTTTACCATATTTATCTGATCTAAGTAAGTTGCTGTTATAAAGTAGGAAGGTGTTGTGAGTTTGTTCATAATGGTGGCAAAACATACTCACCAATTTTCTACTTTTGAACTTTAGTCCACCAATGGTAAGTGATGACACCCCACAGGGAACCTCAAATTCACTTTCTGCGTCTGCTTGCCATTCTGTTCAGGAGTGTATTGGATAAATGTGTGTCTTGTCTATGAACACAGCTTGCCTTCTAAATTTATGAAATCTTAGATTTTCTTCTAGCTTTACCAAAAGACAGCATGAATGCGGTTCCCCACAGATATCTACCTTGGGCCATCAAATATGCTTTTGTAGCATTTCTGAATTGCATGCTCCTATGTGGAGGACTGCTGTCTTCTGTCAGTCCACATGGTGCACAGTAAGGTTTGGCTTACAGTTACACACAGCGTCAAAATCTCTGGACTGCTACTAATGGTGCAGTCTCTTTGCAGATGTCTTCTACATGTTATGTGCAGCATAGTTTTATTTCTTTCAAACAGCAATTTCATTATCTCTACAGTCATTCTACTCACTGACATTTCAATCTATCTCATATTCTACTGAACTGGAAAACTACACTGTGAAAAGAAACTTGAAAATAAAGAGAGAAACCAGAAAACATAATTTATTAAGTATAATTCAGCATGACTCAAATAAGGATAATGAAGCACATGGGAAAAAAAAAAAAAGATTAGATACTAGTAAACTGGAAGTCTTTTATCCTCAAAGTCTCATCCCTTGATGAATGAGATAGTATGGGTCTCTTACTACACTGGAAACACTTTGCTTGTGCAATCATGCTCAATATCTATGTCTCAGCAAAGGTATAATGACAGTGATATATGAATAAATCTGAATTACAGCAATCATAGCATTTTATTTAGTCATCTAAGTTTTAGTCACTGACCAAACTGGCAAGTAAACCCTGGCATTTACGTGCATGAAATACATAACTGAACCTCTGAGTAAGCCCCATTTTTGTGAGCAATTACTGATATTGCAACAAACAAACAAAAAGGCATTCACACACTAAATGCAAGACCATTCATTTTCCTGGGTGATCCATTGTACCTAGTGCCCAAAGTGTGCTTCACTGTTTCTCAAAACGAGAGCTATAAATAGACATGCACTTCTGTGCTGTTTTAATGCTGAGTACTGCACATTCCAGTAGCTTCAGTTTTTGAGCTTGTTATTTTTATTATCCTTTGTTGTGACTGGGCAAATGAGCCCAGTCTTCTGAAATGCCACCCACTCTTTGAGAGAAAAAGCTAGGAATAGACTCAAAGATCAGCAAAAAGCTCTGGCTAGAAATACTCCTGGAATAAGGAGAAATGAATGTAGAGGACTAAATGAGAAGGCTGATCTGAATGCAGAGAAATTTTGTCTGAGGAAACAAAAAGTAAAAACAAAAAAAGACTTGTCTGTTGTAATTTTAAATCTCAGTACTCCATGAGGAACATCACTAAACTCAGGAAGGATGGGGGATTATTTGTTTATTTATTTATCTATCCTTTTATTTATTTATTTATTTAGTTTTAATGGCAAGTCAGAAAGCTGCCTGAAAAAATGTTTGCTTATTTATTTATTTATTTATTTGTTTGTTTGTTTATTTATTTATTTATTTATGGCACCCTATTGTTTCTCCACCCTGGGATCTGGCACTCAGAGAGCCAGTAATTTCATCTGAACACTATTAGAAAACACCAGGAATGATATGGAACATTAAAGTCCCTTGCAAGTAAAGTTTCTGTTTATGGGTGAACTGCTATGGCATGAAGAGACCTTTACAGTTATCACAGGGAGTTCCTCACCCTATTGTCTTTAGGAATACAAAACTTCAAACTTCCAAACACAATATTGCTAGGGATTTCTCTGCGCTGACAGTTAACTCTTGATGCTGCATATCCTTTGATGATTTGCCCTTTACTAAGTGATCTGACTTCTACAGTTATGTGCTTGAGAACAATGTCCTCATTTAGAATGTAACATTATTGCAGCTTATTTGATGAAAATCAATTAAAACAAATTTAAAAAGATCATAAAACATTTTTTTCCCCCCTCTCCAGCCAGGAGAGATTGTTTCCAGCAAATCATTCACAAAATGCTTTTCTGTCAATCAGAGGTGCTCACTCACCAGACTTTGCTTTGTATGCAGCAAGGATAGAAGACATTTCTTACTGCAATTAGTAGTGTGCTGAGTCTATTGGAAGACAGCGTAATTATGATATGCATATATGGTTTTAAGTTGCAATGTCTTAAGAAGCATAAAAAAATTCTGCTTCACAATACACCAGAAGTGCAGCAAGGGATGCATGATCCCCAAAATTGGTACGTGACTTCGGGCTTTGGCTCTCTAAGCTGCTTTGAATGATGAATTGTGTGTTATTGCTTTTGGGTCAGATGCTACTAACTTACGTTTTAGGAAAGGCCTAGAACAGTATTGGTTGTCATACTTAAGGAAATAAAAATGCAAGAGCAGAGTATGCCCTCTCACCTGGAGTATATGATGAGGAAACAGAGAAGGCAACATAAGAAGTGTTTAGCACAAGGACAGGAAGAGCCTGTCCTACTGAATATGCCCAGTCTTTTCTTCCTTTCTCTCATTTATCTGCAAGTAACTTCCTTTCCTTTTCTTCACTCTGCTCCTCTAGCTTATTCTGAGGTAGTCTTTAATTTCCCCCACTTTTTCCATTAACATTACATGTATGTAAAATCTTGGCATAAAGTAGTTCTGGTGGAAATGTTTCAGTTTCTTCTAGGTTTTGAATCTGGTAGAAGCTCTAATCTGTTTGCCCATAATTTTGAATTGCAGTGTTGACAGTGAGCACATAGCTCTAGTCTGCTAGCCGTCTGTGCATTACAGCTTCGCTGACTTTTAGAATTCTTGTGCCAAATTAGATTAGACTGAAAGATGCTCTAATAAACATTTTAAATAGCCACAGTTACTAGTGGCCATACTTTTCTACCAGCATGGCACTGAGCTGTTCCATTGGTCTTCTGTTTCCTATTTAAGCATTGTCAGAACAAGGGAGTATTGTAAGAAATCTGTAGCTTTCCCTGTGACATCAGATTTTAATCAACTGGGAAAATTTCACATTTCATAAAGCAGGGAAATTTGTGATAGCCGTGATGGACTAAGTAGTTATACTCCATCATGCCCCTTGATTTTTAAAAGTCCTATTCATACCTCAATATTTTTAGGATGTTTAAATCAACTAACCCTGCCATAAGCAGTAACCTCTTTTCCTTTTCAAAAATATCTGTGCATCATTCTCTTTTGTTCTTCAGGAGGCAATTTTTATCCTACACTATCTCTAATCCTTTGTTCTATACCTTTTATCCAGTAATCTTTGATGTGGAGCAATGCTGACTACCTTCTGAAAACCTAATTAAATTAGAATTGTCCTTATCTATCATGGCAGTAATATCTTCAAAGAATTCCAACAAGTTACTTAAGGTTGAATTCCTTTGCTTCAATATAGTCTGAGTGTCTTGAGATGTTATCCTTCTAACAGAGAGCTCTTTAAAATAACTTTCAATAAAGTCTTTAAAACAGTCTTCAAAATCATTGGATCACCATCTAATCTTGCCTGCCCCATGTACCCTTTTTACTAATTGACCTTAAATTGTCTGTCTTTGTTGTTTTATTGAGGGATCTAGTGTGAGTTAGTGAACTTCATATCCAAATTAAAATGAAATAAAATATATGTTCAAAGGTTCCCTTTTCTTCTCGTCTCAGCCACTAATACTCATGGACATCATTCTGCTTAAATGAAATTCTACTAACCAATTATATTACCTACCTTACCGAATATATTCCTTCCTCTTTGACTTTGAAGACTGATTCCTAGCTGAGAACAGTTCACTTTGTATTACCTCTACAAAGGATAGCAACAAAATAAAGAATTAATAATTCTATTATTTTAAACCTATAGTAGCCTCCTAATTTTCTCTTTTCAAAATTCCAGTCAATATGCAAATTTAATATACAGATGGGACAAGACCAGTTGGAATTAAATGATTTAGCTGATTACTTTCTGCTTTAATACCATTTAAAAAATGTATTTGTCTTTCCCTTCCCTTCCCTTCCCTTCCCTTCCTTCCCTTCCTCCTTCCCTTCCCTTCCCTTCCCTTCCCTTCCCTTCCCTTCCCTTCCCTTCCCTTCCCTTCCCTTCCCTTCCCTTCCCTTCCCTTCCCTTCCCTTCCCTTCCCTTCCCTTCCCTTCCCTTCCCTTCCCTTCCCTTCCCTTCCCTTCCCTTCCCTTCCCTCACTCTGGATATCCCTTTTTTACTTGCATAACCATAAGCATACTGCAACACATCCTGGAACAGTTTTATTTTTTCTTACTAACCTTGTCTGTGCATGTGCAGAACTTGTCCGACACTTTAACTCTGCTGAGCTGAAGGGCCCTGTGGGCTCTCTCCATTTCTACTGCTGCCTGGCGCCTCCCAGCTTGTGATAACCTTTCAGTTCCTTTTCTATACCTTCTGTGTTTACAGTAAGGCTCTGTACCTCCACAAGCAATGAGTTAACCAGACACCAAAGCTGATTCCAACTCCATGGAGTCTGCAGGAGTGATTTTGTCCAGACCTCTCTGCAAAATTGTCACTGCTGCTCACTTGCGCAGAGCACAGACAGAGACGAGATTGCAAAATACCTGCTGGAAAAGAGCATTCAACCTTGGTTCCACCAAGCTGGACTTACAGCCAATAAGCATGGCCAACAGGCACAATTTATGCAGCGGTGTCCAGGGAGGAGGCACTCCTTTCTAACTGAGGTACCCGTCGTTTGAAGGCTTGCAACTGCCCTGTTCTCTCTGCCACTGTGCCAAGGCACAGGTTGGCTGGGCTTGTGGATTCTACAACATGGATGGCATGATTGCTTCTTCTTGAGAATCACACAGCAATTTTAATTATGCTCTTGTTTAATTTAATGATGCTCTCTAATCACTTACATTAGCTGAACAAAAGTTAGGAAAAAGATCAGTAGTATCTTGAACTGAAAACCCACTTTTGAAGCTAATGTCTGTTTTGTTTAAGTAGGATATCCTTTTTGGCAGGTTTACAAGCATGTGTCAGACAAATGTTTTACAACAAAAACATTTTGCTACAATCACAGACTGATAGAATGACTGATTATCATTTAAGAGACCCTTTGTTCTGACTCCTCAGAGGTCTCCTCATGTGCGTACAGTCTGAGATTCATTTCTCTATGAAATTGAATTCATATGTGTGGAGAAAAAAATAAATCTATCCCCTCATTCTTCTACTATGAGGTCTTTTTTCTTCCCCTACCATGACCATAGAGTAACTGATTTTCATAGTACCAAATTAAAATTTCATAACTTCAGTGAGTGTAGCTTATAGAGTGTAAAAGAAGTGAAGTTCAGTGCCAGCATGCAGGGAACTGCCTAGACAGCCCTTGGTGTGCTGTGCAAAGACTGATGGGTTACCTTTGAGATAGGTGCCTTGGGTGCATAGAGCAACTCAGCTGCAGTTTTGCAGAAGGGACTCCCTGTTCTCATCCCTCCTCACACAGGCCTCAGGCCCCCAGATGAGTTAGGAGCAGCCCTCTGAGGTACAGAAATGTTATCCCTGTAAGAGTTGCCTGCAGTCACAAGCTGCAGCAGAGCCAGGAACTGAACCTGGCTTTGGAGTTCCAGTCTGGTGCCTTTTACCACTTCCTTCTCTCACATGAACATTTACATTTCTGACCTTTGGGGAGGGGGGGGGGGGGGGAGAAAAAGAAAAAAGAGATTTATAAATGTTCATATTTGCACATTGGGCTTTTGGTTTTGAAACATCTTTAAAGTCTCTGTCATCCTGCTATCTCTGTAAACTCCAGCGTGTCCGAGGGAAAGCACATCCTGAAAATCAAAATTTGAATTCTCCTAACATTTGGATGGAGTCATAACCAACCTGGTAAACTGTGTTTTGTCACATTAGTTCCTTTATGGAATGGAATAAAGGAACATAGGGATAGCTGCTTGGTGATGTCTAGGAAAAGTAAGCGCAGCAGCACTTTTAGGAGGTGACAGTGGCTTAGCTCTTGTGGGGATTTGAGGAACAGTCTTGATTGCTCTTTACTGCTAACCAGCCCTGAGAACCTGAGAAGAGAACACTTCCTTAGCAATAGATTTATTCCAGTGGCAGGAGAAACATTTTCCACAGCTATAAAATAAATCCTGGGATAAAAACTTGTTTGCATGTTACTTTTCTTGGCATTGCTGTATGGGCAGTGTATTCTCACTAACTCAATTTATTGTTTGTACAATGTCTGCCATAATTGGTGATTCAAATTTGATGGCACCTCTACATTTTGAAATATGACATATTGCTGTATATATTTAATTTTATCCAGACCAAAATTTTTATTTATTTTATTTTATTTTATTTTATTTTATTTTATTTTATTTTATTTATTTTATTTTATTTTATTTTTATTTTTCAGCCAAAAACTGACTTCCCTGGATTGGTTGAGAGAGACAGACTCCTGGATTGGTTGAAAGAGACAGACTTGAAGAGGTTTTAAAAAATAAAACTTTTATTTATTTATTTATTTATTTATTTATTTTTAAGATCTATCGAAAATTTATTTGCCCAAGAGTCAGAACATGTCATTTAAAGAGGCCTAAAATAATGATCTCATAGACTTCACAGTCCAGAGAACAAAGAAATCAGAATGTATATACTTTGTATATTTGCAGTTTTTTTTTACTTTCTTGAAATATTGCAGACTGAATGGTAAATTCTTCCTGTGCATTGGTCTCAGCTAACAAGTTCATTATCTATTAACACCAAATCCTAACTGTGGTCTCGGCTGCCTCAAGCAATTTCAGATAACCATATGGTGAACAAGCTGTCTAATTACTTTCTGGAAGTCAAAACAGTATTCCTTGGTTGTTCTTTTAATGCAAGTTGGTAAAACGTTGAATTTATTGACTTTATTGGCCTAAAATAGAAAATTTTAGTTTACTACTGATCTTAATGCCTCTACTCAGATATCAGAGTGTAGAGAGGTTCAGTTCAACTCTGCCACCAGAGTATATGTGTAACCCTCTGCAGAGGGCATACTGTTCCATTTTGGCAAGCAAATAGTGACTATTTTAGCCTAGGCTTGCTGAGCTCTATCCTAGATTACCATCCTCTACCACCAAATACAAGGATTTTAGCTTGAAGAGGGCACCATTGGGACAATGAACAAATGCAGCGTAGCAGTTCCTCAGTTTCCAGAAAACCTGGGGGTCATTAGAAATCACTGTAATCTACAGGAATCCTCATGGGCTCCTGGAAAGTGAAAGCACCATAAAAGCAGAAGAGTGACATAAATATTTTTAAATTAAAAATGCAGATAAACAACTTTTCTCTTTTTGTTTTGGAGTTAATTCATCTAGAAGTATTGTCTCATAACAGCAATAGGATGTGTTGCCCTTTTACAGTGTCATTTAGCATAAACTAAACTGGAAAAACAAAACAAAACAAAACAAAAAAAACCCACTGAAATTAAGTCAAAATTTCAGGTACCTATTCCAAGAAGCTTTCTCACAGAATTCTGTACATGGCTTTATTATCATTTTCATATGCAACATGAACTGATAGAGACATATATACAAAATATAAATGCTATACCTTAAGCCTCCTACCTTCTAATGAAGCATATGGCAATTTGCCAAAAAGAAAAGAAAATTAAAAATCTTTCTTGCATTGTACAAAAGCCCAAATGCACAGATGATCTCTGTTTTCATACAAACACACACCCAGAAATGAAAACACAGCTGTATGGTCTAATTTTAGGAGCCAGTAACCTTGACCTTAATAATCTTCCTATTTGGAAATTCAAAGACTGAAAGAGGACATAAGCTCAAGAGTTTTAACCAGTTCTTGAAACTAATATTTATGGTGTGTCATCTGATCACAGAAAAATTATTATCAAACTGCACTGGTAAATAGTGGCTTGACCATGAGGTCTTCCTTTGGTGTAGGTACAAAATTAGAATATCGTGAAACATCATCTCAAATATAAGCAATACGGAGGACTACATAAGGATGTTTCATCTGAAAGAATTGTGCTAGGAGTGTACATAGTGTCAATAGTAACCTAAATAAAAAGCAGAACTAAAAATTCTCCATCCTCCAGATTCCACCTCCTCCCCACCAAGCTACATCTCTTAACAGTTCATTCCTCTGAAGACTTTTTTTTTTTTTTTTTTTTTTTTTTTCCCCAATTCTGGTAAATAAATGAGGAATTACTGAAAAAGTCCTGAAATTGACCTTATGCTTTCTTTTCCTTCAACATTTCCAGTTGAATCTCACTAAATCAAAGCTTTTATATTTTTTAGACCAGCTGCTGGTTTTACAAAACTGCAGAATTTGATACTTTCAAACTATTTATTTGAAACTTTATGTGACAAGTGCATTATTTCAACGTAATCTTAGTCAGAGAAACCTGTGATACATGAAATCATGTGTTTCTATTAAAATATAAAGCATATTGGAGATCTCTGTCCTGTCTTGCAGTGACACAATGGCTCCATGGCAGCATTTGAGCAATGACCTGCACAACCAATCTGACAATGCTAGAAAGACAATCCCAATGTGCAGCAGGGTATATAGGATAACTGCATCTTGCATGACTTAATCCTTAACCTATCATATGCAGTATTTTCAGCTACTGCTAAGTTCCTGGGCATCATCTGCAGATTTTATGTTTGCTTATTAGGGAATAGATGAATAATATTGAAGGATGGTGTTACAGGAAAGTTCCACAGCAAAATCCCCTTCCTGTTATATTTCTACCTTATGACCACAACTCTGTACAGTCCCTCCCACATAGCTGCTTAGTTGTATTTCAAAATCAGAATGATTCCCAACATTCCTGGTTAGCACATTCAGAGGTTAAACATAAACCAGAAACCAACACTGACTATCATTAAGCATTCCTGTGTCAAATACCTTGCTGAAGCAAAATGATAAAAGTTCAGCACGTCATTCTTGGCAGGTATGACTTTTTTTTTTTTTTTTTTTTATGCCTCTATTAGTATTCTTGCTTTACTATGGTTTCAAAATTGCTTTTATTCATCTGTGTAATTCCATTTTGTTTAGTCTTGTGAGCCATTATTTCTGGTTTAGTCCTGTATCATGTCCCAAGGAAAGGCTGCAGGAATTCATAGCTTGTTATAACGTACGTAAAGAACAAATACAGAGCTAGTGTAGTATTACACATGTTGGCAAAATACTATGTGAACTCTAAGTCAACCACAGAAAAAGCCACCTATTTACTCATATATTTTTACCACTTAACCAGAATGTGCACAGGCTTTATGTAATAGATGATAGTTTGGTTTTTCTTTCTGCCCAGATATATGTCCATTAACAAGGATAGTTCCCATCCAGCTGTCAAATACTTTTCCAATGACTGCTTTCTTCAAAATGAAGGATTTTTTTTTTTTTCTTTTGCCTTTCTACCCTCTCCCTGGAGCTCCAGGCACTCCAGAAAAAGCTGGAAATGAATGAGGAGTTCACAGGCTATGGCCGATGTAGCTGAACAGGCTTTCAATCAGAGCATCACCAATGCAGTATTTTTAAAACTATTATTTTCAAAAAACATTAATTGT